ATCCACTTTGCGAAGCGTCGTTCTCTAACACCCCATCTTTTGAGCACAGATACTTATAGCAGTTTTCAGCCCAGTAATAAAAATAACACTTTAAGCCAAGTCAAAATAGTTTATGTAAACCCGAAGTCCATGTGCAATAAATTGTCTGATCTGCAGATTTCTATAGAAAATTCTAAAGCGCAAATTATAGCCATCAGAGACTTGAATTCCCGAACAAATGGATACTAACCTCATTTCAACATGAAATTCTTCGACTTTTTCTCCCGCTGTAGATTTAGAGCTTGTGTATTGGACATCACCACCACAAACGAGACTGTTGAATAGTTCTGTTGTGGCTGAAGATCAACATTGAGAAACTGTCATGTGCTCTTAGCATAATCTATAGGCCTCCATCTATAACCTATGGAGCTTTTGAATGTCCCTATGACTCAATGCCTGAGGCACTACTAGCACATAATATATGTATGTATTATTACTGGCACTGGCGTAGCCAGGATTTTGTCTTGGGGGGGGGGGGGGGGGGGGCAAATTTGTAGGAATTTTTTCTTGCGGGCCCACCGCGAACGCTGCCGGAGGCAAAGCGCCGCAGGCGCGAAATTTTTGGATGCCAGGCCCCTTTTTTAGGTCTCTTTACAGTATTTTTGGGACTGTTTATTTTAATTTTGAAGAATTATTATAACATTTAAAGATATTTGGGGGGGGGGGGGCAAATGCCCCCTTGCCCCCCCCCCGTGGCTACGCCAGTGATTACTGGTGATCTAAACACATATCAATTGTTTCCAGATAGCTACTGTCAGGTACAGGGTTATTAGTTATAAATGTCACCCCCCTCTATCTTTTTTATTTGACATTTCAGAAAAAAGTGTCCCAAATAAAAGTTTTATGGTTGAAATTAAATTTTTTGAAAAATTCACTTTCGCATATACAGAAGGTTTCACAAAAGCTGCTCGTGCTCCAAATTTTTTATTTCAAATAGTATATTATTGGATATTCGGATTCTACATCAAATTCTGAGCAGATTTCATGTGATATACCCTATACCTAAGTTCAACTGTTTTGGAAATATTGACAGTTGAAAATAGACTTTTTTGCAACTTTGACAGGCTGTAAATCCTAAACGGTTAATTTTAGAGCAAAACCGATCTTACATTTTTATCTTAGATTTTTATAAACTATCAGTTGGCACCAATATTTGACATCATCTTTAAATTTAATCCATGATTTAAAATTCCAATTACCTAAATTTAATGTTCGGTTAAATTCAAAGTTGATGTAAAATAATAACTTGTGAATTTAAGATTTTCAAATGTGAGATCGGTTTTGCTCAAAAGTTAACCGTTTAGGTTTTACAGCCTGTCAAACTTGCAAAAAAGTAAGTTTTCAACTGTCAATATTTCCAAAACAGTTGAACTTAGGTATAGGGTATATCACATGAAAACTGCTCAGAATTTAATGTAGAATCCGAATATCCAATAATATACTATTTGAAATAAGAAATTTGGAGCACGACCAGCTTTTGTGAAACCTTCTGTATATGCGAAAGTGAATTTTTCAAAAAATTTAATTTCAACCATAAAACTTTTATTTGGGACACTTTTTTCTGAAATGTCAAATAAAAAAGATAGAGGGGGGTGACATTTATAACCAATAACCCTGTACCTGACAGTAGCTATCTGGAAACAATTGATATGTGTTTAGATCACCAGTAATCACTGGCGTAGCCACGGGGGGGGGGGGGGGGCAAGGGGGCATTTGCCCCCCCCAAATATCTTTAAATTTTATAATAATTCTTCAAAATTAAAATAAACAGTCCCAAAAATACTGTAAAGAGACCTAAAAAAGGGGCCTGGCACCCAAAAATTTCGCTGCTCAGAATTTGACGTAGAATCCGAATATTGAATAATATATAGGGTATTCAATTTGAAATAAGAAAGTTGGAGCACGACCAGCTTTTTTGAAACACCCTGTATAGGCAAAAGTGAGATTTTCAAAAAATTTAATTTCAACCATACATTTTTTATTTGGGACACTTTTTTCTAAGATGTCAAATAAAAAAGATAGAGGGGGGGACATTTATAACCAATAACCCTGTACAAGTATTTGCAGCAAAACTTTTTGTCATTTGGGTTAAACCAATCGATAAAAGACCTGACAAAAATTATTGGCAAAGTTTAGTGCTGGTGAGTGATACCGATATCATATGTGATACTGGAGTCATTGTCACGGATCCCGTTAAATCAGATCAGATCAGGAATGTAAAAAACCGTGGTGTGTGAGCCTGGGCTTACCACGTTCATTAAAAACTTGAGTAGGTACTGCTGTCTTACAATGATTTGAACCAACTTGATCAAAAATAACCAAAATAAACAAACACAGGTCAGATCCTTCCCTGCCTTTCTGAATTTCTTTGTATGTAGGTGATCACTTATCAAGGCTCAATTATTATGATAGGTTGAATATACATAGGGTACCTCAATAGCTTAACTTGAGTTTAGTATATTAGTCATACAAATTATTATTTAATATACAGTGTGTGACAAATTGATGGTGCATGAATTATAATCACGGTTGGTATAGGATATGCGAGAGAATTCAAATGGCAAAGTAGGGGAGAGCGCCCAACAGTGGTCATCCTTTTTTTTTATTTCTCAGATATTTTCGATCTGGTGATGAAAATTAGTTTTTCTTTTCAATCTACATATTTTGTTACGTCGTAAAATAAAATAACTTATAGTTCAATTAGTGAAAAAAACTTTTTTTTTTGCAATATTTTTTTGAAAATCTGTTTATGTGGCCACTGTACGAACCTGGATTGGTACACTGGCCACCACGGTATTCTTACAGTGGCCACAGCTTTTAATTTTACACTTTGTTATAATTATTGTCATAAATAATCACAAATATCATTTAAAACAAATTTATTTAAAAAAAAACAAAATTAACAAGATGAGCTAATATAAACTAAATGAAGTCTGAAGACAAATCGACTGAAAAATAATGGAGGCTTCGAGTTCTTGCAGTTCCTCCTGAAGTTATAGGTGTGGAAAGATGCATTACCACTGCGCTAAGAGATACAATAGATCGTCTCGGACATCTCAGCTCAACAGTGGCCAACCCTATCTATTCCCATGAGTAGTGGCCACTATTGGTTTCTCGAGATATGGTCACTGTTGGAAATTTGCCACTAGAAAATCAAACCTAACCCTTGAAAAAACCGTCCCTGGCCACTGGTGGGCGCTCTCCCCTACCTAAAACTTTATGGTGTGGAATCGAATAAAGCACCTAAAATAGAATTTTCTCTAAATTAAAACACTCACTTTATTTCTAATACACATTTGACAGTGTTGCCACTAATTGTCCGCATTAAAAATCAGTATTATTTTTCATTTTTAAATGTTGGTAAAATACCAAGAAAAATGGTTAAATTAAAGTTAGGGATTCAAAATTTTATTACTTTTTTCTCAAGACGCACTACATCTAAGGTGTTTTTTCTCACTTAAATTGGTTGAACCAGGTTGAACCTAAATCAAAACATTACATTTTCGCGTTGAACCAATGACGTCATAACAAAACTGTTTGAAAATATTTTGAAACGAGATTTCGCCTCGGTTCAAAAACAAACGCATGCGCAATAGTTTAAGAAAGTTGACAGTTTGTTGTTTATGTTTATATTTGTGTTGAGTTTTTTGTAGCAGGTTATAGAATGATGAACAGAACACTCTTACATTTTTTGAGAAATAGAAAATAGGCTATTAGGGTTATGGCTAATTACCAGAAAAAAAAAACAAACAAAAATCCTAGGTTAGGTTTGTATGGTTAAATTCTGGTTTGAAAACCTCATTTTTTCTCGAATGAAAGTAATGACGTCATTTTTAAATAGGTTCAAAACAGATTTCAAAAACATTTCAAACTGTTGGGGTCGAGAAAAAACACCTTTAGTCACAACAGCGCAATCAAACGTTTTACCAGCGGCAGCCGCAACAGCTGTTTGCGCGCCTTGGCCTGCAGCGCGCTTGGACATTCGAGGGAAATTATCATTAATATGTCATCGGCAGGCGTGTTTTAATGATTTCAAATTTTTCCAGTTCTGAATTCTCTATAGAAATCCTAAATAGCCTCGTCCACAATCTCTTTTTTGGAAAATGTACGTTGAATAGTCCCTTTTTTAAGATTTTATGCTTATATGACATATTAAACATTTGTGAAAAATCCCATTGGATTGTTTTTTCAGAAGTATCTATCCGTAGATCCAACAGTGTCACCGAATCAATGACGTCGAATCGTCCCTCGCCGAATGAAACCGCCGCGCTGAATCTTCTCTGGCGCCGAATTGACCAATAATGGTTCCGTTGGAAACATTTTTGTTCACATCGATCACACTTTCATCTTATGGTCCCAAGAAAATATGTACAAAATTTCAGCGCGCTACCCCAAAGTGCAGTAGGTATCCAGGTCATTTTCGTCGTCATTGGACTAATTTATTACCAACCAAGATAAACCCTACCTAAGGAACTGACTTTATTTGCTTAAAAAAAAATCCTAGAATACCCTAGCTGCACGTCATGGGAGAAGCACTACCAGAACAATATCCCTCAATGAGGTCTTTCTAAATAAAATAGAATGATAAAATACCTGATGGAGTTTGACAGAGGTACAGCGCTGGTTTGCACTTGGCTAATGTTTTATTTTTTCAACTCAGCAGCATTTTCTTGAAAAAAAAATAAATACTCATGTGCACACATTTATACAATTGAAGTGACTTTTTTCTGATACGATCAGATTTGCCATTTGCGTGTTCTTGACATCTAAACATTTATGCGAATGCTTACCGTATTTAGATTTAGAAAGGGTTACTAACCAATCGTACATTCAACCGAAATGACATTTTCAACAAACTCTTCCATATTTATTAACTGAGAATATAATCCCTTCAAAAACGCTAAATTCAAATTGTTATATTTTAAAATGTGTTTCAATAATTTTTTAAATTTCATTTTCAGGTCACAAATTCAAGTATACACCACAGAATTACTTTATCTACAAGTATTCGATCGAGGCCACCAGTATATTTAACGGAACAAGTAAAAACGAATCGACGTTGTTCATAGATGCTGACGTAACTCTTAATTTTTTGACCCCATGCGATGGTTTGTTGGCCATTTCAGATATAATATTGAGCGAAACTGCCCCGGGAGACAATGAGAAAATTCCCACTTCGACTAATAGTCAGCTATTTTCTGACATGATGAGGGAACATACACTTAGGTTCGCTTTCAAAGACGGAATTATCTATGAAATATGTCCAGATGATGATGAGGAAAACTGGCCTATAAATTTCAAGAGGGGCATTTTATCCATGATTCATAATAGTATGAAGAGATTTGACTTGGATTATTCTGGCGAGGAAGAAGACGTTAGAGGTATTTGCTCAACTGATTATAAAGTAATCGGTGCTAAGGAAACAAGCCTACTTATCGAAAAAACGAAAAACTTGGAAACTTGCAGAGAAAGAATTAAAGTTAACTCCATTGTTCAGTTTACTCCTGTATCAAACTTTCATTCGGTAGGTATCTTCTTTGATTTTTATTTACCTTTCTAACCCCCATCAATATCTTTAACTAATATTATAGATACGAAAGTTTTGTGTTTTTTTTGCTTTTTCAGCCACAGACGCGTTTCGATCTATCAGATCTCATCAGTGTGGCTAGGAAAGCAAAGAAACCCAACACAAGTTTAGTGCCTGCAGGCAAAGTGATTTTTGGTCGGCCTATTAGACGGTCAGTACTACTAACTACTTTTACAGTAAAAATGTTATTTAGTGCTGGATCCTAGTCTTAGATGGCGCCACGATCAAAATTCGCTCTTCGTATTATCAGATACATTTCTTTGCGCATCACGAGCATCGTACAGCACTATACATAAATTTTTACCTAAATTATTGCGACATAAAATAGCAAGATAATTTTTTTCAGAACGGATCGCAGATGATAAATTGCTTATTCAAATACTTATGGTAATCTAACTGAGGAAAAAAATATTTATCAAATAGGTATATGTACATAGATCTTTCTTCATCTTCATCTTCATCAGCCTGCATTAATCCACTCATGGACATAGGCCTCTTCCATTTCCTTCCATGTTGACCTGTTCTGTGCTGAAAGCATCCAGTTCTTTCCCGCTCGTCTTTGTATGTCGTCTCGCCATCTTAGCATGGGTCTGCCGCTGCTTCTCTTTGTTCTCCATTGCATTTTCGTCCATTTCTCATCATTTCACGCAACGTTTCCTGCCCAACGCAACTTGTTTTTTGCACTTTGTTCTATGACGTCACTCACTTTGGTTCTTGCCCTGATCTCATCGTTTCTTTGCCTATCTCTCAAGCTAATTCCCAGCATCGCACGCTCCATCGACCAACCATCCAAACCCCCGTAGTTGTTGTGCACTTTTCTTTGTCATGGTGACTGTCTCGAGACCGTACAGTGTGCGTGGTAGTACGTAGGCATCGTATACTTTCCGTTTCAGATTAATTGGAATCTTCGGTTCTTTGAGGATATATGCGAGTTTTCCAAATGCTGCCCATGTCGGACTGATTCTCCTCCTTATCTCGGCTGTCTGGTTGTCTTTGCCTAGCCTGATGCTGTGTCTCAGATATATATATATATTCTGCCACTAGTTGAAGTGTGTGGTTATCGATATTGGCATTGATGTTGATGTTGTTTGAGCTCATGATCTTCGTTTTCTGGAGATTCATTTCTAGTCCTACCTTCTGTGAATCTTTCTTTAGTTCGCATACCATGGTGCTAAGTTCGTCCTGGTCGGTGCTCATGATCACAATGTCTTCGGCGAATCGGAGATGGCTCAAAAATCTCCAGTCTATGTTGACTCCCTTTTGTTGCCATGTCAAGTCCTTACACACCCCTCTCTGTATGGGGATCTTTTCGGTTGTTATATTTTCGTCTGCTTTGACATGTATTGTAACGCCCTTGAAGATGTCTTTAATGAGTTTGGTATATCTTGAGTCAATTCTCGCATTACCCATTGCCTCCGGCACCGCCCAGGCTTCCACCGAATCGAAAGCTTTTTTGTAGTCGACGAATGGTGTAATGGGATATTATATTCGGTACACTTCTCAATAAGAGTGCGTACCGTTTGAATGTGATCCCTTGTACTATAGCCGCTTCGGAACCCGGCCTGTTCCACTGGCTGGTAGAAATCGAACTTTTTGTTGAGTCGGTTGGTTATGATTTTAGTAAGGAGCTTATAAAAAACGGACAAAAGACTGATCGGTCTTATGTTTTCGATGTTGGTTGGGTCGCCTTTTTTAAAGAGAATTATTTTTTTTTTTTTACGGATATGCGCACTCGCAAGGAAATGTCCTATCGCGCTCGAGAAGCGGCAAGTGCGCGGAAATGTCGGTGTATGTTGGTCTTGAAACGGTTCAGGTTGTAACCTGCAGGGAAAACCGTCGCAGGGAGTTTATTCCACAGCGATGCTGTTCTCCAGAGATATGAATTCGGATATAATGAGGTTCTTGGTGCCTCTAGTTTGACAGTAAATTCATGGTTACCGTCTGTTTGACGGGTTCGCCTGGTAGGCGCTACTCTCGGTGGAATCATACGTGCCAACTCTTCAGAGCATTTTCCGTGATAGTACCTGTAGAAGAGAGATAAATCGCCCACAGATCTGCGATGTTCGAGACCATCCAAGTTACGAGTAAGTGCGGGGTCATTGATCAGCTTGATAGCTCGTTTTTGCACGGTGTTCAAAAGCATTAAGGTATGTTTGGGTGCTGCACTCCATATATGTGAGCAGTACTCCATAGTTGGTCGAATCTGGGCTTTGTAGAGTGTCAGCAATTGGCTTGGTGTGTACAGATGTCTTGTACGAAATAGCACCCCCAGCTTTTGGGACGCCCTTTTAGCAATATCTGCCACGTGATTGTGCCAAGACATGTTGGTCTCTGCAGTAACCCCCAAGATGTTCAACTGACTCTGTAATGTGACAGCACTTCCAGATAGTATAATGTTTGGCTCACCGGTGCTGTTCTTTTTTGAAAACAGAGCTGCTTGGGTTTTCTGTGCGTTGAACTGTACAAGGTTTTTGTTACCCCAGTCCTCTATTATCTCCAGGTCGTTATTTATCTGCGATATTTGAGTTAGTCTAAGATGATGGAATTCACGTGCGGAAAGACCTGTGGGTGGTATGAGTGAGGAGACTACATTGCCATCGTCTGCAAAGCAATAAAGTGGATTTACTGTTTTATCTATGAGGTCATTTATGTAAATCAGAAAAAGAGTTGGCGAAAGGATTGCTCCCTGTGGCACACCAGCATTTATTTGGTAAGAGTTGGAGTTCTGGCAATCCAGTGCAACATAAATGGATCTGTCCTTTAGGTAACTTTCAAACCAAGTGCAAAGTTTCGGCGATAATCCCATTGCTTTGAGCTTGTTGAGCAGATTTTCATGCCAAACTTTGTCGAATGCTTTAGATATATCTAAGGCAATTGTTCTTGTTTCACCCCGCAACTCAATCGCTTTTTGCCATAAGTGAGTGACGTATGTAAGTAAATCGCCAGTTGACCTATATTTTCGAAATCCGTATTGCTTATCGTTGATAATTTTGTACTTTTCCAAGTACTTGGTTAGGTGATTGTTCACAACTCTTTCCATTACTTTTGATATCACCGGAAGTAGAGCAATTGGTCTATAGATTAACGGATCTGTCTTTTTTCCTTTCTTTGGAATGGGTTGTACTGCGGCAGACTTCCATGATGATGGATATACTCCTTGCCTGTAAGACAAATTGAATAATTTTGCGAAAGTTGGGGTGAGTTCGTTGGCGCAATTTTTGAGTACTATTGCGGGAATGCCATCCGGACCCATTGCTTTGTTTGCACCTAGCTTTTTAAGGGATTTTCGTATTTCTCTGTGACAAAAGGGTACCTCTGGCATACTATGGGAAACCCTTTCAATGAACGGTGGAGTTTTTCCGTTTGGCACTGTTAGGTTGGAGTTGGAGGAAAACATTTGGGCCGGCATATTGGCTTTTTCCTCTGATGTTGAGGCTAAGTGATTATTTTTATCTGTAAGTGATGATATCTGTATGGATGACTTGGCGAAGTTAGATCTAACAGCTTTTGCAAGAGACCAAAAGGACCTAGAACTACTTGGACAATTCAGCAACCTGTTTTTTATTCTTTGATTGTATGTTTCTTTAGCGGAGTCAATAGTGATTTTGCAACTATTTCTGGCTTCTATAAATTCAGTGTGGTTTTGAGCGGTTTGTTGTCGTTTCCAAAGGTTATATGCTCTGTGTTTTTTCTGTACAGCCGTTTGACACTGGCTATTGAACCAAGGTTTTGCATTAGCTCTACGTTTAGTTGTATGTGGGATATATGCATCCATTCCAGATAAGATTACTTGTGTTATTTCATTACAGCAAATAGTAGGATCAGCTGTTTTAAAGCAAACCTCTTGCCATGGAAAATTCAGGTAAAACTGTTTTAGGTCATTCCATTTTGCCGATTTATAGTGCCACATTTTACGAGGAAGTGGTTGTTGGCTTGGTGGGATGAGCATTTCGCACTTTGTTATTATAAGTTTATGATCGGACGAACCAAGTGGAGCATCTACTTGAATTGTGTACGAGTCAGGATTTGTGGTTAGGAACAAGTCTAAAAGCGCTGCAAATTCGCCCCTTTCTGAGATACGGGTAGGTTCATCGACAAGCTGCGTTAGACCACAACTTATGGCAAAAGCTTCTGCTTCTCTGCCTTCGTTATCTGTTTTGTTGTGGTGTTTCAGCCAGGGTATATTGTGGACGTTGAAATCGCCTAAAAAGACAATTTCCGCCTGTGGATAGTTTGACTGTATACTATCAGAGCTTTCGGATAATGTCGCGAAAAAGCTTTGGTACTCGGTGTTAGATGGCGGTCGGTAGAGGCAGCAGATAAACTTGGTCGATGACTTTGAGGTGAATTTTAGCCATATGATATCAAGGTTCGCTGGTTCTAGCTTCTCCTCTCGATGACATGAAAGGTCATTTTTAATGTACACACAGATCCCAAAATTATGTCGAAATCGGTGGTGTAGGTCATAGCCGGGATAAAGATAGTTCACAATGGGTGTTGCAGAACTGATTTTAGTTTCAGTGAGAACAAGGATGTCAGGTCTTTGTTCTTCAAGATGTTGGTGAACTGAATTCATATTTGTACTTATTCCTCTTATATTGCTAAAATCAATTCTGAGTTGAGTTTTTGATCTTCTCTTTATATCTTTGCATGAAGGACCCCCAGGATCACCCGACGCCCGGAGATCCGAGTGGTCGGGTATTTTACCTCCGGAATATTTTGATCCTGGAGGCGCCATCATGCTATCTGTTACTCATTGTTGGAACCGGACTGCCAGCGCAGCAGCGGAACGTGGTGATACCACTTAGCGCTACTCAATTCTGGCATGGTGGTATCTCACCGGTCGACGCCCAATGAGTAAAAAGCGTCTACCACCTACCATTACCAATTACCTGGGTATTTATCCGGACATCGGGAATTTTTCCCTCCTCCACACATTTGTTAAGAAGGATGATCAGTGCTTTCGCCAGAGTTGTTCCCGCATTCTTCACCATTTCTGTTGTAAGGTGGTCTTCTCCTGGGGCCTTCCGGTTTTTCATCTGCTTCAGTGCCATTCTCAGCTCTGCAGTTTCAACCTACGGGATGTCCTCGGAGCCCACATTCAGGACTACCCGTTCTATATGGTTTGGCTTGGGTACCGATTGTCTGTAGAGTTCCTAGTAAAAATGCCGGATGGTTGATGTGATCTGTTCTCTCTGTCACAACTTGTCCTTGTTGGTTCTTAATTTTGTATGTGAGCGACCTTCCCTTTGTTCTTTTGGATCGGAGGAGTTTCATATTCATGTTGTCCTCGATAGCTTCTTGTATGATCTTTGTGTTATGAGATCTTAGGTCTTTTTTAATCGCTTTCTTTACTCGTTTGTCTAGTTCTAGGTATCCTATCGAGTCCCTTTCAAATTTCTGCGTTCTGCTAGGAGTGCGTTTGTGCTCTGGCTGAGTTTCGTATTAGTTTTTGTTGCCATGGAGCATACTTTCTTCGCTGCTGTTCTTATGCTGCTAGCGATTTTTCCCGATAAGACATTTGGAACCATATTTCTCAGATCTTCCGTTGGTTCTAGTTTTTTGTTGATTTGGACATTGTATTCTTCCATTTTTTCTTTGAGTTGAATCCCTGTTGGGCGAGCAGCTTTATCGGTTTGCTTTTTCCTTTCCAAGCGTGTGTTTATATTTATTGTGCCTCTTACGATTCTGTGGTCTCTTCCGGTATTAAAATGGCTAAGAACTGATACATCGGTACAGGACTTTCTGTTGGTAGTAAGTATATAGTCAATTTCGTTCTTAAATGCGCCATTCGGGCTTCTCAATATCCATTTTTTTTGGTGTTGTTTCTTGAAGAACGTGTTCATGCAGTTCATTTGTTCTTTGTTCATAAAGTCCAGCATCATTTCGCCCCTAGTGGTTCGTGTGCCTAGTCCAAAATTATCGATGTTCGGGCCGTCTGTCGCAATCTTAGCATTGAAGTCACCGGTTATAACCTTGAACTTTGTATTTTCTTGGTTCTTAGCTATCGCCAAATATAATTGCTCGATATCTTCGTCTGTTGATGTTGATGTGGGTGCATATGACTGTATTATCTGCATGCTGGATCTCTTGTTCAGTTGTAGCATAATGTAAATCACGCGGTCTGATATAGCTTTATTTTTCGTGACCATATGTTTTCTCTTGGTGTTTACCATGATCGCTACTCCTCCGATATGATGGTTTCTTTAGGAAATTCTTTGAAAGAGCATATGTCCAGATTTCAGAATTATGTTGGTCTCGCCTTTTTGTCGCGTCTCGCTTATTCCTAATATGTCCCATTTGATGTTTTGGAGTTCGCTTTCTTGACTCAGCAGGTGTTCTTCGAGGCTCATTGTGCGAATGTTGTATGTTAATATTAGGATGTTCTCATTTCTTTTCCGTTTTTTATCTGCTAGTGTCGAGGTTTTACCGTCCTCATAATCCTTGAGGCTGGTTGATGTATCAGCGCGAGATTCTGAGCACTTAGCTCCACTCGCCTGGGGTATTTCTGTTTTAAATGCCGACATTACATGTGGGTTGTGGAAGGGATTTGGCATTAAAACGCCATGCTTGCCGAGTGTTGGCGAGTTCTGTTCCCAGGGATTAATTCAGCCGCCCATTCTGGGTCCGACACTGCTGGTTTGTTTCGCCATATCTGGATACTCTACGCAATTAGCTTATGGGTCAGTTTCCTGGGTGTGGCGCTTGGAGCCTTGAGTAAGAGCTGCGCACCCCATGAGGACCAGTTACTACAATTTAATTTATCTCCCTTCTATGACGCTCGATATGATCGATTCCAGTAGAAGGTGCTACCTCTCTGGCGTGACACCCCATTATACCCCGTACATAGATACTTAGGATATACTTGATTATCTGAGAAATGTGTGGAAAAAAACAGAAGAAGTGAAAACACTTTCTCAAATAGAGTAAGCCAGGAGATCTTTGATATGAACTAAGCCAGTTCATTCATTAGTTACTGAATATTAAACGGGCACGTCTACGACGAAACCTCAATGTCAGAAAACTGTCATATAAAATGACTTAGAGGTTGATGCCATAGCCACAACTGGATATACATGGTCAAAAACGAATCGACTGGTGCCTCTATCAAGAACTCTTAAGTCGGGCGTTGATGAAATAGGAGATACAGTTGACACAATTGACGACTTAGAGCTTATTTCAATACAACTGAAGCACACAATTATTTCAGCATTTGACAAGAGCTGTCCTGTGAAACAAATAGTCCCTTACAGAAACGTCCTTTGGTAGAACAGACAAATTGGATCGCAAAAAGAAAAAGCAAAAAAAAAAGTATTTGATAGGTCAAAACACTCTAAGGACTACAGCAAGGATTTCCTTGCCTTTATGTGTATACAGGGTGACAATTTGGTTATTAAAAAACATAAGTTGAGGTAGTTACCCCCTAAGGGGTGAGGTGGGGTGATTCAAGAAGTGCCTCATTTTGGCTCCCACTCCAATCCCCCGATATGTGTTTGCGATTTTCCTGATAGTAGTTTCGGCTTCTTCTAGTTATTACAAAAAAAAAGCAGGAGAAGAGCGGAAGAGCCCGTCAGGTAGAATTTTCACACCAAAAAAAAAGTGAAATGGGCCGTCAATTCTTCTGGGCTCTAAAAATCAGCAAGCGCTCTCAACATTATTCCAGCAATGCTGCAAAAACCGGGATAAATGCTACAATTCCCCCGCCAAAGATATTTTCAGCCAGTTAGTACATGCGATAAATTCCAATAGCTGGGAGAGAGGTAAGACTGGTCAGTAATCTTAAAACTGCACTTCGAGAAAAATAAATAGCAGTGTGCATTCATAGACATAGAAGGTGCCTTTAAAACACCTCGAATCCTCAACAATTGAGTGGAAAGAGGCTATGCTTAGGCGCAGAATCATAAATTCCTCAGAGTGTGAGAAAACTGCACCGGTTACTGCAACAAGGGCTAACCCCCAGGGAGAGCAGTACTTACCACTGCTATGGGATATAGTTGTCGATAGGCTACCACACCAACTTATCAACAAGGGTTTTGACATGCAGAGTTACGCTGATGACCTAGTGATCATCAGGGGCAAATATGATAGAGTCATCTTTGACCTAATGCAAAATGCCTTGCTCACCCTTCAAAACTAGGGCAATCAAAAGGCACCTAGTAGTTTAATCCCAATAAAACATTCATTAATCTCAATCTAAAGCTCCCAAAATGAATGGTGATAAACTCCTCAAAAAATACAGAATAACTAGGTGTAGTACTCGACGAAAAAGTTCTCTGGAATTGTCATCTAGATAAAATAATTAAGAAAGCAACACTCACCAGGGACGCGAAATGTTCAGACAGACATCGGGGCTCAAACCAAAAATGATCCACTGGATGTACACAGCAGGCCTACAACCTGTGCCTTTATGTTCTAGTGGCATAAAACACGGAGCAAATCAGCCCAACTAAGGCTAGAAAAAATTGAAAGGTTAGCTTGCCTTGGAATTTGGGGCCATGCGAATATGCTCTACCTCAGCTACGGAAGTTACGTGAAGCGTGCCACCGCTACATATCTTCATTAGAAGAAACGCAGCTTCAAGTACACAAAAAACTAACAACAGTGGAAGCCTAAAAAGAGAAAGGGTATATGCCAAGTCTCGAGTAAGTCGAACCACAACTATCTAACCAACCCAGAGACTCACTACTGGCTAGACAATGTTTTGACAGGAACTTTGAAGTGGCCGCCATCGTTTTGGTATCACTGGTGGTTCCAGGATGGATTGAGCGGCAGACATATTTGGTCCAAGATTAACGCTATCAAAAGCCTTAGGAAAAAGCCTCACAATATTCCAAGTAAAAATACATGCCATAGAACTCTGCGTAGAGTAATTAATATACGGAATACAAGTGTCCTAATATGCTTTGACAGTCAAGCAGTACTAAATGCGTTGAGCTCCTTCACTTTTAGGTCCAAACTAGAACTAGGTAGGAGTGGATCCCAAGATACGAAGGAAATCAAGGGAACGAAATGGCCGATCGCGCCGAAGAGACCTTCATTGGTGTAAGCAACAACCACATAAAACGAGCAATGAACAATCGGCTAAAAGAAGAAATAGCCTTGAACTGAACTTCAACGGAAGGCAATAGACATGCGAGAAAGTTCATAACCTATTCGCCGCAAAGAATCCCATATTTACAAAATTTGAAAATTAAAATAATTTGTCAAAAATACACACATTTATCTAATTTTTTTTGAAGAGGTTAATCATTAATTATTAATAATTTCACAATTTTTTTAAAATTTCATCCAAAAATAAAATTTAATATGTAATAGATATTGAATATTGAAAATAATAACAGGACATCGTTCTTTATTAGGTGAAAAGTTATTATTTTATTATGTTTCAGAGAACACGGAACGAAGACATATTAAAATCATCAAGTCGATGTGTTATGTCCATCGATGAAAATATCTATAGCGATATAGCCTGCGAGGAGAATTATGTCTTAGAGCCATTTTCAAATAACGCCGCCGGCGCCAGCACGAGAGTTATTCAAAAATTAACTTTGAAAGAACGCGGCGAAAAAAAATTAAGTGAAGAAAATAAGATATGGAGGCGAACAAATTTGAAATTCGATCATTCGATTCCTAAGCAACCAACAATTGGGGATCTGAGAATAACGAGGGATTTAATCAAAAAATTATGCAAGGAAAGTCAACATGATTCGCAAAGTGATTTTTCTGATTTCTTTGGAAAGTTCATTTATGGATTAAGAAGCTTATCCTATCCAGCCTTGACAAGCCTTTACGCCCATAGCGGAGCTACATGCCCTTCAGCGAAGTAAGTGTAATTGTGTTTAATTTGACTATTAAAGTATTAGTTTTGAAAATATACAGGGTTTATCTGAAAATGAGGTTGTTCTTCCAACAGGATATATATCTCACCAAAATAAGCTGTTTGGCAAAAAATTGTTTGCATAAAAAAATTTAAGAGAACGGAGGTACATGTATTTTAAAGGGGGTGTGACCCAAAAATGGAAGTTTTAGTACAAAAAAATCTAAGAACAAATATTTAAACCGCATCTTGCTACGATGAACCGTTTTCGAGTTAGGGCGGTTTAAATTTACAACTAGGTGTTTGTGACGTCACACCGGACTATCAGGCACAGTATTAACACGTGTAAGAATTTTCTAAAACAAAAGACAATTATCTCGTTAGAGCGAATTGCAACCACTTAAAGTATAGTGTGGGATGCAAACTCGGACATGAGTTAAAAATGAAAGCCTTCGCTCTTCTACTAAGTTGTAACATATATTAACATTGAACACTTTTACATTAGAAAGATACCCAGAAGGTAGAGCTTCCAAATGAGGTACTAAACCTGCATTTAAATGAAATTAAGCTTGAGAGAATGAGGAGCGACAAGCTCATGTTCTTACATCTTTCAATACTTGACAATACTAGAAAAAAATGTGAAGTTGTCACGCCAGGTGCATTGTTGCACATGGCAACCAAATAGTTGGATATTGTATCCAACATGCTGGGGGCCTTAGCATGACGAAGCCTTATATTTTTATATTCATATAATTGTATAGCAAAATGCTATATTCCTAATGATGGCATAAAACCAAAATATTATGTATTGGGTACCTAAAATACATCTTAAGTTTTATACATCTAACTGAAGCTACAAAAGCTTCAAGCTAGTTTTAAGTTTCACTAGAAAGTGACAAGACATGTAAATATTTTTATAGAAAACAAACTATAACCACTACTAACTAACTAAAAAACTACAACCTTATTTCTATAACTATACAAACTAACTACAACCTTATTTCTACAACTACCTACTACTTAACTATAGTCTTATTTCTAAATGGGCAATATTGGCAATTTTGTGATGGACCTTAAATAGGTTCCATTTTGAGTTTTAACTTCTTCGACTCTTACCTTTTCATCCTTTCCTGGTATTACTTTTGAAATGCGAGCTATTGGCCACTTTAGAGAAGGAATATTATCTTACTTTAACAGGAGCAACATATACCTTCCTGGACATTTGGCACATCAAAGCGCCACTTAGGCCTAGACTGCAAAAGAGCCAAATAATCCTTGTGCCATTTAGCCCAAAAGTGTTGTTGCAGTTGGCAACAAAGCTTCCATAATTTGAGCCTATTTTCTGGAATATTAGTACAATCAGGTTCAGGCAAAGCAGTAATTGGTTGACCAATCAAAAAATGGCCGGGCGTTAAATATGAAAGATCAGAAGGATCATTTGTCATTTGTGTGAGAGGACGCGAATTTCGAATTCCCCCAATTTGAACCACCAAAGTATTGAATTATTCATATGTTAATTGAGAATTACCAGCAACTCTTTTTATGTGAAACTTGGCGCTTTTTATCCCAGCTTCCCACAAACCACCAAAAACGAAAGAATCACTGGGAATAAAATGGAATTGAACATTTTCTTCCAGACACGAATGATTGACATAATTTTTATTTTGTTGAAGGAAAATTTAATGATATTCATCAGTTTTGTTTTTTGCAAAAAATCCCAGTGGGTCTGCCACGTCGAGATATGAATCTTTTTAAAGCTGCCAAAAAATTTTCAGTAGTTGAATCCGACAAAACTTCCAAATGAACAGCCTTAACAGCGAAACAAATAAAGCGATGTATGTAGTTATGATAGTTTTTCTTACGCGAGATTGTTTAAGATTGAAAGGACCACAAAAGTCTATTCTAACCTTTTGGAATGGCCTTAATGGAATAACTCGACCTTTGCGAAGTGATCCCATTAATTGTTGAGAACAATGGGCTATGGATTTGGAACACGTAACGCATTTATGGATTATTTTCTTAATTTCTCTATTCCCGTTTATTAACCAAAATTTCAAATTAAGAGAACTCAAAATTTGCTTTTGACCAGCATGTAACAACCTTAAATGCTCTCTGATAATTATAAGATCAGTTATAGAATTGTTTTTGGGTAGAATTATTGGGTGTTTTTGATCATATTTAGGTACAACAAACGAAAACTTAAATCTAAAAATACCTTAGCCAAAACAGCTTTCCTTTGATTAGTTTATTTTTTATGCGCTGCTTAACTGAAAATTCACTCATCTTTTTAACATCACACGGAAAAACAACACAACACTGGAATACTGGAAATTACAGTTGCTTCAAATAAATTTTTATTGAAGTGAAAGATCCAGGGATCCAAATTACAGAACATAAACCAATTGAATAATTGTCAATATCAATAATTATTGTCAAATTCAAGACAGTGTTACTGTAGAGAACATACAAATAAACAAATATAATTTTTAATGAAAAATTCCCAAAATTAGGGTACTTTTCTGAGATTTTTCTTGCAAAATTCACTGAAATACTCCTCAAAATGTTCATTTAAAGCACTGGAGAACAATATCCGGCTCGAAGGACCAATATGTGGAATGCGAACTCGGACATGAGTTAAAAATTAAAGCCTTCACACTTCCACTAAGTTGTAACATATATTAATATTGAACACTTTTACATTAGAAAGATACCCAGAAGGTAAAGCTTCCAAATGAGGTACGAAATCTGCATTTGAATGAAATTAAGCTTGATAGAATGAGGAGCGACAAGCTCATGTTCTTACATCTTTCAATACTTGAAAATACTGATAAAAAATGTGAAGTCGTCACGTTTGGTGCATTGTTGCACATGGCAACCAAATAGTTGGATATTGTAATCAACATAGGGTACGGTTCACTGACGATTGAAGGAACAGAAGACTGCGATTTCGGCGGTTGTGATGACACAAGTTCCTGCCTAATTTATCTTCACAAGGAATTTTCTCGGAGACTTTTTTAAATATAGGACTGCGGTCTTCAGGAGAGATGTTAGATTTTTTTTGATTTAAGCAACTATAAAACATTTCATTTTCTCGAAAACAAGCAATTATTAGTGCAGCATGATGAGTCTTATTCCATAATAGGTACTCTACAGTTGCATTATGCCATCAAACATATCAATCTCAAACTCCTTTTATAATTTTCAACCTATCAATTTTTGTTTCTCGTTTTTGTTATCTTAAATTTTTCATATAAACAATTTTTTGCCAAACAACTTACTTTTGCGAGATATATACCCTGTTAAAAAAAGCCTCACTTTCAGATTCACCCTGTATTGGCTCATATGAATAAAACAGAAGCAAATGCTTTTGCTCAAGTTTTTCGAAATAAACATATTCAGCTTTAATGCAGCAAAAAGAGACGGAGGTAGAGTAAAAGCATTTGCTACACTTTATTCATACAACCTTTGTATATAAAAATCCAGATAACCGTAAAAAATTATCAAAAAACATATACATATACCGATTTACAGAAAAATGTATCTCAATTTATTTACAGATACCTATTACAAATATTAGAGAAACCTATCAGTATTCAACCAAGCGGTTTTTATTGGGGCGTTTCAGTTTTTTTCAACAATTATTATTGGAAGCAAGTTTAACTAATGTTTAACGTTTCCTATTCGTTAATTTAATTTTAACGCAACTTTTCAACTTTTGTGCTTGATAGTTCACCGATATCGCTACTATATTCACTACACAAAAGACAAAACATAGACACAAATCACTATTCAAAATAACAAAGCGGATCACGCGACTTAATGATACTAAGTAAAATTTCTGCACATCTCTAAATGGTGACCGCCTTGAATTTTCGTGATTTGACCGATGCGGTAAGGTTAATTTAAAAAGAAGTATTGAGAAACGAATTGCGCATGGATGTCAAAATAACTTGGAGCCACAGATTTTACAGCTCCAGTGTCGCACTTCCGGTGATTTCGAGGAGTTATCCTACTTTCAGTTTGCATGGGTCGATTGGATTTAGGAAAATCCATCCTCGCGCTAGGCCTGATGGCATGATGTATGCTCACTGTCCTCGATTTCACCCTCGCAGAGCCAGTATAAGCATAAATCGTATAAGTGTCTTGCTTGGCTTGTTTGTTTTATCCTTAGATTATACATATACAGGTTTTATCAGATGCGCTCTAAGTACTGATATCCTACGAGTCAGGGCCGGATTAACCATAAGGCGGAATTGGGCGATCGCCCAGGGGCGAAAAGTCAAAGGGGGCGAAAAATTTTAAAAAACCCACAAGAAAAAGAAGAGGGAAAAAATCAGAAAATCAGACAGCAAAATGACAAAAACTTGACTTCTTACACATAAGCCGTGTTAGGTTTTTGTCATCTTTTTCGTCGATTTGCTCCGGAGCAAATCGATAAATATGATGGCAGAAACGAACACCGCCATCCGGCCATTATATGACATAATTTTGACCTTGGAACTGTATTTTTGTATAAATTTGTCATGATGATAGCTTATTCGGGTTTGAAAAAAGGACGGTTCTAGAATGGTTCAAAACAATCGCACAGTTTATTAATCAACAAAATAACAACGGTTTGGCTATCACAAACTTCAATAATAAACTGTGCGATTGTTTTGAACCGTCCGTTTTTCAAACCCGAACCCGAACAGACCGATTATATGACGAAGAAATAAGCACAAAAGCGCAGCGACTTAAGGAAACATATAAAAACCATCTGGTCGATTATTTTCCTCATGAATGTCTTCACTGTAAATATTTTCTGATTTCTAGTAGTCACGATGGCACCTTAAATTTGGGGGAACTTCTACAAAGTTTAAAGTCTGAAAAACTAATCTCGACATTTCCCAATATCGAGGTACCATTAAGAATGATTCTTTGCCTTCCGTCCACTAACGCGTCTGGAGAGGTCCTTTTCCAACTTAAGGAGAAATAAAGACTATCTTAGAAACAGTTTCAGATGAAAA